ATAATACTAACAAATAATCCTTGCATTTGATATAGGCCTTATCTTCGAGATGTCTCAAGGGGCTTCACACCGTAAAGTGAATTGACTGTATATTTTGAGGGCAAAACGCAGCAGCCAATTGCGCACAGCAGCGTCCCACAAACAGTCGTGGATTGAGTGACCAAATTCCTTCCTTTTTTGAAGGAATGATTACCCCCAGAATAATACCTGTTGGGGTATTGACCCTCACTGGAACCATCTGGTTGTGGATGTCGAAGCAGTGCAAAGTGGTCTCTGTGCTTTTAAGGATAAGTTTTGACCGGGTCAAAACAGGGAGGAAAAGAAAACTCAACGTTGCTTTAAAATAATATCTCCTGAATTTGATGCAGTTTTAGCTACTTAGACTCCAGCAGTATCCCAATGCACACCAAGCCTTGGCTCTTGCCAACCTGCGCCTAATACTTTCCGGAATTAGGTAAGCAGGATGTCTCACTCCAGGGAGAGAGAGAGAGAGATTTCCGTGTGTAGGTGGGATGTCATAGAATTCTCAGCTTGGTTTGGAAACTCTTAAGCAAAGGTGATGGGTTTCCATAAGTGTCAGACACCCGGCTGACACCAAAAAATCTCAAAGGGCTTCATGGAATTTACCGTAAAGAGTAGTGACCTTGTGCCTTGTTGTGATGGGTGGAAGGTGGTTGAGGGTGGGGAAGAGAGAAGATCAGGGCACATTGTGTAACATCCACTTGATTCTAAGGCAGGAGGAACCTAAACCAATGATGCAACCATAACAGCGATGATCTGGGAATAGTAATACTACTAAAAATAATCCTTGTATTTGATACAGTGCCTTACACATCTTCGAGACGTCTCAAAGCGCTTCACAGAATATGCTGTAAAGTGTATTTTGACTGTGTTTTGTGGGCGAAACACAGCAGCCAATTGCGCACAGCAGCGTCCCACAAACAGTCGGGGATTTGAAGTGCCAAAACCATTATTATTTTATTGACTTATTTATTCTTGAAGGGATAGACTGTAGAGTGTAGTGACCATGTGTTTCACAGGCTAATATAATTTTCATTCATTCATTCATTCATTCATTATTACCCCCGGAAAACCGATCCACCAATCGAATAACTTCTGGAGTCATGCTCCGCCACTGCAAAGCCCTCTGGGACGCTACCCTGCATGGGGCGGGGGGAGGTGGGGGGGGTTCGCTATATAAATGCAATTTGTAGTTGTTGTAATTCGAGTGAGGGAGTGAGGGAGGGAGGGAGGGAGGGAGGCGGGTAAATAATCAGTACCTAACGAGTTAACTCATATAGTTTTTTTAAAAATATACCAAAAAGAAGTTGATCGAACGAGGACGAGGCGAGATTGCAGATAAACGCATCCTGCAGGGAAAGTAAGCAGATAGTAGGTTGGCGCAGTACAAGGGCTGCAGTGAAGACCGGTAGTTGCCCAGAGCAGACTGGGAGGGGGGTGGGTGTGTTGCTGTCACTCACTGTGGCGGGTGAGGCAGCTGACTTGAGCGCAGAGAGGTTGAACAGACCCAGCTCACTCCGCGAACAACAAGCCCGTTCATTGAGGCAAGATCTTGTGATTCGTTCTGTCTGCCCCTGAGTTTAAGTGCCTGAATTCTACGAATCCAAAATAGCCTGGGCAAATAAGCGGGACTGGCGAGGCTGGTTCAAGAACGTGAAAACAATCTGATAGTCTTTTTTCATTGAATGGGATGAAAGCGATGTCTGAGAAGTTTGGTGCCGTCTCAAACACAAAGTTCATCATTAATCAAAATAATACGCGTCTTAATAATCCGTGCCTTCAATTTGGTCCCATATAGAATTGAAAGTAATAATAATAATAATAGCCCTTGCATTTGATACAGCGCCTTATCACGTTGTTGAGACGTCTCAAAGCGCTTCACAGGATATACTGTACAGTAGAGTGATTGTGCCCGAAACCCAGCACCCAGTTTGCGCACAGTGATGTCTCACAAACAGCCGTGGAGTGAAGGACCGGTTTTATCTGGGGGAATTGTTGGCCAGGAGAGCCAGGAAACCACTGTCTTTGCGACACTGTATTTCTAGATAGCAATTACAATTATTGTTGTAATAATCCTTAATAATCTTTGCATTTGATACATTGCCTTATCACATGTTTGCAGTCTCGAAGCGCTTCACAGAATATACTGCACAGTGTCTCACAAACATTGAGTGACCAAACTATTATTATTATTTGAAAAAAAATTTGAAGGGATTGTTATGCCCTGAAAAGCGATCCACCAATTGACTAACAACAACAACAATGTGCATTTATATAGTGCTCCTCATGCAGGGTAGCGTCCCAGAACCAGTTCCTGCTCACTGGGTTCCACCAACAACTTACTGCTAGGAAAACAGAGGTGTGTGGAGTAGGGAAACTTGCCTAACATTTGGCCCTGCCGGGAATCGAACCCAGGTCCTCTCACTTGCGAGGCGAGTACTGTAACTACATAACAACATATTATAGTGACAGCGTCATGATTTCTGCCACCATCTCAATGCCTCAAATAGATGGGGACAGATGTGTTTCTCCACTCTCTGAGCCAGACTGAGATGAATCATACGACTTTAACACCATAGTTGCAATGAGAATCTCTGAGTAATTTAAGAACATTAGTTTAAGAGGGATTCTAATTGCGCCGTGCTGTTAAAGTTCTATGGTCGACAAATGCAGTTCTTAAACGACAGTCAAAAGTTTAAGAACACCGTCAATTTTTTTTGAAAAAAAAATATTAACTTTTTTTTATATAAATACAGAAACAGTCACTTGAACGGATGTCCATCATGATCTACGGGAACTGTTTGCTGCCTGAACAGTCAAGTGGAACCATGACAATCCCACATCCTGCCCCTAAACAGTCACACCTCACAGGCCTAAATATAAACCTTCTCGTTGCGGTCTTGGATTCAGAACCACAGCTTCATTGTGGGCCGGTCAGCCCAGAAAATGGAAATCTTTTGAAAAGACATTGTGGAAGAAAAAGGCCGTAGGCTCTTTTTAAAACCCAGTTAGATACTTGCCTGAGAGAAAGTGTCCTATTAGGAGTCCTGTAGATTATTGGTTGGAGCACTCACCTCGCAAGCGAGAGGACCTGGGTAAGATTCTCAGGCAGGGCGAAACGTTGAGCAAGTTTCCCTACTCCACACGCCTCTGTTTACCTAGCGGTCAGTAGGAACCCAGTTGTTAGTCGATTGGCGGATCACTTTTCTGGGAGTAATAACCCTTTTTTAAAAAAAAAGGTTTTAAAAAAAAGTGGTCACTCAATCCATCACTGTTTGTGGGAGACACTGCTGCGTACAGCCCTTTCCCCCAAAAAGGCTGTGGGTTATGGCTGGATCCACCCACATTTTCACGTCTGAGGTGGGTAGATGTTTGTTAGGTCAGGGATCGAGGGAATGTGGGGTTTAGGGCTGGTAACTGGACTTGAGGTACAGATCAGCCATGATCTAATAGAATGGCAGAATAGCTCGATGGGCTAAATGGCCACCTCCTGTTTCTATGTTTCGAATTGGCTGCCGCGTTTGGCCACAAAATACACAGTCACTACACTTTACAGTATATTCTATGATGAAGGCGCTTTGAGACGTTGCGAAGACGTGATAAGGCGCTGAATCAAATGCAGTGATTATTATTATTATTATTATAATTGTTGCAAAACAATTGTGGGAGGGGGAGGGAAAGGGAGGTGTGTGTGTATGGGAAAAAAAATCGTTGTCTGTATGTTTAGACAAGTTGAAGTGGCTTTATAAGCACAGGTTGCCTCTGAGGGATTATTATGAGCAAAACGCTCACTGATAGCTTCCTGATGTCAGGTGATGTGCCCTGAGAGACTGAGTCACTTCTTTCAATTAATTAAGCAGACGGATAAAAATTTTCGGCAGGAATTTTTAAAAATATTTACTTATTTAATTTTTTATGAACTTCCCGTCATTTCCAGTCGTTGCCGCCGCCACGACACGGCCCCGTCTTCTTCTTCTTCTTCAAAAGAAATTAACGTAACGTTTAATTTGCCGACAAAAAACAAGGGCTTCTCCTCAGTTGCAAGTTGCTCACTTAATTAGGATTCTGTTGGGCAGGAAATCGTGAGTTAATTCCCCGCAATTATCGTGGCAGTGATATTAGAACAAATTGCGTGTTGGGGGGCGGGAGGGGAAGACGAGTAACTCTCAGCAATATCCTCAGGAGGTTTCCTCTCGGGGCATCTGCGGCAGTTTGTGTTGGAGCGAGCGGAGTAATTGGTCTCGTGTGGGAGTGGGGGGGTGGGAGTACGTAGTCTTTTCAGCTGACAGTTAAGATAATTTCCGAGTCGGGAAAGAAAAAATGCGTGAAGTCCGGCGAACTGCAGCGACCTCACCGCTATCTCGTGGTGCTGGATTTTTTTTTGGGGGGGGGGGTGAAGAGGAGACGAAGAAAGAGACGAAGACAGAGGGAGATAATAATGATAGTAATAATAATCCTTGCATTTGATACAGCGCCTTACCACGTCTTCGGGTCGTCTCAAAGCGCAAATTACTATTATTATTATATTATATCGTGGGGGTAACTTATCCCTTCAAAAATTGTTTTTTTTTAAAAAATTCGGTCACTCAATCCACAGCTGTTGGCGGGGGATGCTGCCGTGCGCAATTGGCCGCCTCCTTTCGCAAACAAAGTACACAGTCAAGTTCACTTCTCCGTGAAGCTCTTTGAGGCGTCTCGAAGATGCGATGAGGCGCTGCATCGAACGCAAGGATTATTATGATTATTTTCTCAAGGCGCCGTTCGCAACTAGGAAGCCACTCGGTTCGCAAATAGGAAGCAACACGCAGGAAGTTCCTGTCACTTTACAAATGACTGCGAGCCGCGCGGAATTTGAAAGCGATATATTTTATTTTAAAAGGAGCGGATTTGGCAGCCGATAGCCTTGCGCTCAAACCTCCCGCGGCATCACAGACAAGTCCTATAAATAGACTATTTACAGCTCAGCTCCGGCAGAATTCAAGATTAATAGTAGCAGAAAAGCTAGCAATGTTTTTGCCGCTGCTTGAAAACTGCTGGAGGAGTAATACTGGAATGCATCATTGTTGGATAATGACCACAGGGCGACTGGGCAGAGGTAACTGTTATTGCCAGATCGGTTGCAATCTCACAGGAGCAGCTCGAATGTTTTGCGAAGTTAGCTGGTTCAGGAGAAGTCAGACTCCAACTTATGGAGAGAGAGGTACAGAGAGAGAGACAGAGAGCGAGGCAACAACCCAGAAATAATTCTTGGAGCCGGCGTGAAAGAGGTCATAGCCTTTAAGGCAAAAAAAATTGATGATAATTTAATTTTCACATTTGATACAGCGCCTTATCATGTCTTCGAGACTTCTCAAAGCACTTCACAGTGAAGTGAAACATAAAAGGAGAGGTGTTGATCTATTCTGAGGCCTCTCCCCACTGACAATAATAATAATAATAATAATCCTTGGATTTGATATAGCACCTTATCGCAAAATATACTCTAAAGTGAATTGACTGTATATTTTGTGGGAGAAACTCAGTAACCAATTGCTCACAGCTCTTTTCCCCCAGTGCTGCAACAGAGTGCCAGACGACACCATGTCCAAGTCCCGACATGAGGCTTGAACTCAGTACCTTCTGACTCAGAGCCAGGCTGACACACATAATGCCACACTGACCTGCAAGGATTTCACACTGAGAGGCAATCTCAGGTAAGTGTTACAAATATCAGAGGCCTTAAAAACAGTGCAGAATTACACAGAATGTTACAGCTTGGAAAGCAGCCATCCCTGCCGGTGTTTATACTCCACGTAAGCATCCAAACCTACTATTACAATAGTAATAATCCTTGGATTCGACACAGCGCCTGATCACGTGGTCGAAGCGTCTCAAAGCGCTTCACAGATTATACTGTAAAGTGGATTGACTGTATTTTTGTGGGCAAAACATGGCAGCTAATTGCGCACAGCAGCGTCAAACAGCCGTGGAGCGAGTGACCAATTTTATTCGGGGGGAATTGTCGACCAGGACACCGGGAGAGAGAGAGAAACTCCCTTCTCTTTTCGAATAGCACCGTGGGATCTTTAACATCCACCTGAACAGGCAGAGAGGATCTCGGTTTAACGTCTCACCCGAAGGACGGCCACTCCGACAATGTAAACACCCCACCCCCGCATCCTGCCCCCATCCCCACCCCTCACCGCTGCATTGGAGCGTCAGTTTAGACAACGTGATTTCAAGATCCAATGCGGGGCTTGAACCCACAACCTTCTGACTCCTAGGCAGGGATAAAACCAACTGAGACCGATTGACACATGTCCTGAAGCAGCTCACAGCAAATTGGAATCACTTGCTAAGCAACTTGATGCTGTGATGTGGGGACAGTAGGAGGAATATTGTGGAGGGATGAGTTTAGATCTGAAGGGCTTCATCCGAAACGATCTTGTAATGCCTTGATCGTACCTGGTGAGTTTCTTGCTAGGTTCCTCTTACGTCCTATCCAAACCCTCGATATCTGAACCGAGACAACAGGCACAAAAATGCAGCGCGTGATGTGATAATCATCACGGGCGCTAATTCAAATTCCAATCTTTATTTCTTAAACATGTCTGCCACATACATCCACAAACTCCTCCCCTTAACCGCTTGTTACAGAAACAGTGGCGTGCGACTACCGAGAAGCTGAGGCAAGGTGTCAGAGATGCATTCGGCCTACTCATTGTGTAATGGAGGATTGGGCACTGAACACGGCCACGGATCTTTATCTGCCCCGAAATGACGGCTCTCACTCACACGCGCTGATCCTCTGGATGTCTAAATACAGTTAAGCTTTTGAGCATTGCACACAATTAAGTACTTCTACATTCAATTATCATCATTCCTCTACACGTTTCCATTGTTGGTCAGTACATGGTGGGATAAAAAACATGGGATTAACAGCACTTTGTGAAAACCTGTCACACAGCACTTTGTGAAGAACTGTCATACAGTCACTACACATTACAGCAAAAGAATCCTGTAGCTCAGTGGTTAGAGCGCTCGCCTCGCAAGCGAGAGGACCTGGGTCCGATTCCCGGGCAGGGCGACACGTTGGGCAAGTTTCCTTAATCCACGTACACGTCTCTGTTTACGCAGCAGTGAGTAGGAACCCAGTTGTTAGTCGATTGTCGGATTGGTTTTCCGGGGGTAGTAATCTCTTCAAAAAATTGTTTTAAAAATAATTTCGTCACTCAATCCACGACTATTTGTGGGACGTTGCTGTACGCAATTGGCTGCCGCGGTTCACCCACAGTCACTACACCATATGTATGTTCTGAGAAGCGCTTTGAGACCGTCTTAACCATGTGATAAAGGCACTATATCAAATGCAAGGATTAGTGTTATTATTATAAAAGCGGCCTCGCTTTTACGGAAGTTACGACTGTTTCCCCTGATCCTCAGGTGTAACCTTATCAGCTTGTGGTGGTGCTATGTTTGTGTGAGGTGCTGCTCACTGCACCTTGTGTATAATTGGTGGGGGGGGGGGTGTGTGGTTGTGCAGCTAAGGAAGGAAGGAAAGAAAGAAAGAGAAAGAACGAAAGAACGAAAGAAAAAAAGAAAAAAATAAAGAAAAAAAGAAAGAAAGAAAAGACAGACAGACAGACAGAGAGCAAGCAAAGAAGGAGAATTTTTTTTCCTTTTGAGGTGAATTGCAAGTGCGTTCTCACGAGCCAACCTCCAGCGATTGCCTTTGAGGGCGGAAACGGGCCAGTGGTGGTGGCCTCTGGCAGGTGAGTTTACATGAGGTGAACTTCAATCCAACAGCAATCCTGTGGATGCACTCCACACTCCTCTTGGACAGGTGGTCACCAGGGAGGAACAAGGGTGTTCGCTTTTGGGACTGCATTGTGCACTACATTGTTAGTGGGCAGGTGCGGTCTCCCTCGCTGTCTCCCTCTCTCTCTCTCTCTCTCTCTCTCTCTGTCTATCTGTCTCCATATACAGCTGCTTCTTATCCGTGGCTTCATTGTGAATTGGGAATGCTTAGCGTTAGGCCACAAAAGCGAGCTGGCTTGTTTGGTTTAATTGCTCCTGCATCGTTGAGCTCCCACAATAGGGAGTTTCTCTCACTCTGCCTCCACTGTCATTTCTCCCCATTCTGAAAATCAAACAGACGCGCGAATAATACTACCTGAGATACTTTTACTCTTTCCCCTCCCCTCCGCACAGCACTACCACCACCACCCCTTTGCCCACCTAAACTTTACAAAGACAGTTTAAAGAGGAAGTCGGGGAAACTAAAATTCATCCTGGAGTCTGGGTTTGATTCCCGGGCGGTCAGGGTGAAACCTTAGGCAAGTTTCCTCACTCCACAGGCCTCCGTTTACCCAGCAGTAAGCAGGAACTTGCTTTGTTAGTCGGTTGGCGGATCGCGTTTCCGGGGGTAATAAACCCTTCGNAAAAAAATAATAATTTGGCCACTTAATCCACGACTGTTTGTGGGACACCGCTGTGCGCAATTGGCTGCCGTGTTTCGCCCACAAAACATAACATTTACAGGATGTTTGAGACGTCTTACCAACGTTACAAGGCGCTGCATCGAATGCGAGGATTTTTATATTCTTATCCTGTTCTTAGGCTTGAGACCATGACCTACGAATTTTGAAGTGTGCGCAAATTTTTTTTTGTGTGTGGGTGGAAATAAAGCCTTAAATTGGGAGCAGAGTCTCAGCCCTGTGTAAACTCTACTGCCTGCACAACACTGAACGTTTAATACAGAAGGCGAGAGGGAGGGTTACCAACTGAGTCTGGTGAACCAAGCTCTCGTCTGTCTGTTCAGGTGGACGTTAAAGATCCCGCGGCGTTATTCGGAATGGTGGGGGTGTTTCTCTCTCTCTCTCCCCGTGTCTCTGGTCAACAAATCCCACATTTGCTTCACATTTGCTTACGGCTGTATTACCGTATGCAAATCGTCTGTCGCGTCTGTTTACAAAATACCGCATTTAACAGTTGACGGCCGAGTGATAAGATGTTACGTTCTTCTTTTGGTCAGCCGGCTGTCTGAGACACACAGAAAACTATTCAAACCCAGCTGAGAATTCCATGCACCACACCGACACGTGGATACCCCAAAGATAGATCGTTGAAAAGGAAAAAAACGTATTCGGGGCAGGTTGGCAAGAGCCAAGGCTTCGGGGACCTGAGCATTGGAAAAATTGCTGGAGCCTACCCAGCTAAAACTCCATCAAATGCCAGGAATATTATTATTATTATTATTTCTGTCACATCAAGGTGTTACTGTTTTCCTACAGTCAGCAGATGGAGCGGTGTGTGTGTGTTTGCTCAGTCAGGAGCCTATGGAACATATTGCGTTTTTGGGTCAAGCAAATGCGTATAGCACAAGGCCAGAGGAACACGGAGCTCCCATCTCCCATTGCCCTCAAATTGCACTTCAATCCCACGTGTCTGTCTCGCGGACTCAAGGGCCTGAGTTATTTGCCAGCTCTGGATTGCTGAGCTCGGTGAGTAATTTTGTCTGGCGGTTTGATATTCATTACAGAACAGGCCAAGACAGCCAGCACTCGGTGTACTTGACTTTTAACAGCTGGCAAGGCACAGAGGCCCTTCAGCATCCACCCCCGTCCTGCATTTCGCCCAACCCAAACTCAAATCCCACAGGATGAGGGACTAAAGCAAGAGCAAGTTTTTGGTGCCTTGTTTAGCTTCTGACCATGGGCTTCACTCATCTGTTTCACCTGTTGTCTACCCGAGAAGCTCTCAAGCAATTGCAAGTGAAAGTCTGAGTGTAACTAATAATATTTCATTATTTCATATATTTTACGAGGAATATATTTTAATATATACTTTTTGAATACTCATTACTAATTTACTGGCGACTGGTGACATTAATAACATCCTAAAAAATTTCATGGGTACTTTCTGTCAAATGCAGCAACTGCATTAATAATCATTCATAGCATTGTTTGTGAGACATTGCTGTGCACAAGTTATCTGCTGTGTTTGCCTATAAATATGCAGTCACTACACTTCACAGTATAATAATTTGTAAAGGGCTTTGAGGTGTCGTCCTGACATGAAAAGTGCCTACCAGATGCAAGTATTCTAATTTTTGTTACCATATTATTGGGATTCACCTTATCTGGAACTTTTAAAGCCTCTGATGATTACCTAGCAGTAAGTAGGAACCCTGTTGTTAGTCAATTGGCAGATCACTTTCCCAGGAAAATAATTCCTTCCCCCAAAAAAATTTAGGTCAGTCAATCTAAGACTGTTTATGGGACCCTGTTGTGCCCAATTGGCAGCATACTTTACAGTGTATTCCGTGAAGCGCTTTGAGACGTCACAATAAGATGATAAGGCGCTAAATCAAATGCAAAGATTATTATTATTATAAGTGCTCCATGACTTCTGTCCTCCAGTGAGAATGATGCCAGCTGTAATAATCTCTTTTGCAGGCGGCTTTCTGTTTGTTTCAAAAACACCCAACAGTAATAATGCGAAAAAAGGTCTTTTCAGTTCCTCGTTTCACATTTTAAACGGGAATCTGTCTGACACACACACAACCACAACAACTTGCACTTATATAGTGCTCTCCACACAGGGTAGCTTCTCAGAGCCTGACTCCGAGCCGGTGAGTGTGGGGGAGATGATCGTAAGCCACGGTCAAAGAGGAAGGTTTTCAGGCAGGACTTGATAAAGGGGAGAGAGAGGGGGGCAAGGCGGAGGGATTGAGGGAGTGCGTTCCAGAGATTTGGGGCATAGTGGCTGAAAGCGCGACCTCTGATGCTAGGGCACACACACACCTACACATACAGTGTCCACCCCTATAGTGTAATAATCCTCACCAGACGCACAATGCTTTGTGTCCGAATCTCGTAATTGCTTCAGGTGAACTGGTGCCTCTAACTCCCAGTCAAACGGAGTAGCCACTTCAAGCAGTCATAATCATTGTACTTATCACCAGCTGACAGCCCCTTTCATCTCACTCACTCACTCACTCCACCCACTGCCTAAGCCTCTACTCATTGTCTACTATAAAAGTGGGGTGTTGACAAAGATTTGGAGATTTTTCTACCAAGTGGAGGATTCAGCGTTACTTTTCCTCAAGAAATCCCTGAGCAGAAGGTGTCCTAGAATCATAGAATCATAGAGTTACACAGCGCAGAAGGAGGCCATTCAGCCCATCGTGTCTGTGCCGGCTCTTTGAAAAGTGCTGTCCAATTCAATCCCACTCCCCCGCACTCTCCCCATAGCCCTGCAAACGTGTCCTCCCCAAACAATTATCTACTTCTCTCTGAAAAGTTGTTGCTTCCACTGCCCTTTCAGGCAACGCATTCCAGATCCCAACAACTCGCTGTGTGAACAAATTTCTCCTCACCTCCCCTCTGTTTCTTTTAACAACTATTGTATATAGGTGCCCTCAGGTTACCCACCCACCAGTGGAAATAGTTTCTCATTGTTCACCCTAGAATAATCCCAGCTTCTCCAGCCTCTCCCGATAACTGAAGTCCTTCATTCCTGGTATCATCTCGGTAAATCTCCTTTCCACCCTCTCCAATGCCTTGACATTCTTCTTAAAATGTGGTGCCCAGAACTGAACACAGTTTCTAGCTGAGGCCTAATCAGTGTTTTATGAAGGTTCATCATAACTTCCTGACTTTTGTATTCTATGCCACCATTTATAAAGCCTAGTAACCTGTATGCTTTTTTAACAGCCTGGCTCAGTCACTGTGCGTGTGTCAGCCTGGCTCAGTCACTGTGTGTGTCAGCCTGGCTCAGTCACTGTGTGTGTGTGTGTGTCAGCCTGGCTCAGTCACTGTGTGTGTCAGCCTGGCTCAGTCACTGTGTGTGTGTGTGTGTCAGCCTGGCTCAGTCACTGTGTGTGTGTGTGTCAGCCTGGCTCAGTCACTGTGTGTGTGTGTGTCAGCCTGGCTCAGTCACTGTGTGTGTGTGTGTGTCAGCCTGGCTAAGTCACTGTGTGTGTGTGTCAGCCTGGC